GAGAGAGAGAGAGAGAGAGAGAGAGAGAGATGGAGGTTTGGGATAGGTAGTGTCTATGTATCCACGCAAACACACAGCATGTAAGACGCTATTGATATGATCGAAGTTTGTTTTCATCAAAACATAAAGCCATAATCTCGCATGACGTAGCAAGGACTCATTACCTGAATATATTTGGGGCCTCATCCGTGAGTTCGCTGTCTCTGTGTCGCTCCAGGGCGTCGATGAGGGTCTGGCTCTTCCTCAAGAGAATGTCCACGTCCTGGCTCACGTGACTCAGACGCCTGCTGTGTGAGTCGCAACTGCTCTTGTCGAGAAAACTCGCGTGAACGTCCAGAGGGAAACGATTATGGTGAACCTGGGGCGTAAGATCAGGAGGAAAGGGGGGGGGGAGAAATACAAATAATTTGTTAATACGATTTGACGGGTCTAAAATTATAAAAGGTAAATAGCCTTTCTAAATAGAATTAAAAATATCGTTTTCCAGTACCACGCTGTAAGTTTGAATTCTGCATAAAAGTGGACACTAAAGGGCTATGGAAATGCCATTGTTAGAGATACGATTCCTGGTTTGCATTTAATATAAGAACAGAACCATAGAGCTTTAGTATGTTTTTCCTCAGCTCATAGAAATTAGATCACAAGAAAATGGCAGGCGTCAGTGGAATAGCGGCTAGGAGCTTGACTGTCGCACGAGGAGACCCGAGTTTGGTTTCCAAGATAGCAGAAAAGCGTTATTAAGTATCCCAGACTTTTTGCTGTGATATTGTATCCCTTTTAACCTGGTTGGTGTTGACAGGTAGGGACAGAAGCCTGCTTTCTAAACCATCTAAAATGTGTCTATGGGTGCGTTAAAAACACCATCACTTAGAGAATGGGTGCTACGACTCGACACTGTCAGAGCCAAAGAATGTTGTGCAGATACTCCAAAGTATAAATATAGGAATACTCTACAATAACTTAATATAATATTCTTCGCATTAAAACTGAATGAGCAAATTATGTGTGAAAAACAGAAAGGCTAACCATTATACAACAAACATTTATTAAAGACAGGTAACTGTGCTTTGTTCTGGAGAGACAGCGGTCAAAATAGGAAAATGTAGGACTTTAAACTATCTACAGGTCAATTATCTGTCTGTTCTTAATGACATTGCATTAATATTATTGTTTTATTGTTTTTGTACATCGGGTGAAAACGAACAAAAATACCCTTCCCTGACAACACAAAAACTATTTCAAGTGATGAGAGTTGACAAGCACAATCTCATTTCAGTTACTTGCGTCATTTATACCATCATGGAATATTACATGATTGAGACCGTATAATGGATACCTTTATTATTTATCGTTTTAACACAAGAAAGACGCCCGTGTCTTTTTCAACAACAATTCAATATCCATCTCTGTACAGAAACCTCTACTCAGGAAACAAGAGTTATTCGGCCTCTTCTGTGTGCCCGACACTCGAAATAGGAACAAATTGAAAAGGATGCTGTGAGGAGGGACGCATTTTTTTTCAATTACTTTTTGCTTGCCAAGCACATCAGCCAATGACGCCTCGGTTCGTTAGACTGACCTTCGAGATAGTGGCGCGCCCTTACGAAATTACTGTCTAAATTGGATTCCTATGAATGGGATCACTGCGCAGGGGAAACTGGTCCGGTCGATATTGATTCTAAGACACTGACTGAGTGACCGTTTCAAATTGTTTTAATAGTACATTTCCCCCTGTCTGTCTGTCTGTCTGTCTGTCTGTCTGTCTGTCTGAATATGTAATTATATGTGTCTGTGGACTCCATCGTTCTTTCTTCTTATCAATTAACTTCTATATTTCTCTGTCTGGCTGTGGGGGGTTCTTGTCCACCTAATCTCTCATGCTTTCTCTCTATCCCCCCCCTCTCTCTCTCACTCTCTCTCTCTGTTCTGCGAGAGGGACGGTCT